CCCTGTTCCACCTCTGCAAGCGGCTGCAGCAGCTGGGTTTGGAGCACCACACCGAGTGCCTGGCCTTGACGGCCACCAGGAAAGCCGTAGGTGCGGGCATCGAGATCAGCGGCGGGAGCTGTTCGCCTTCCTGAGGGACCTCGTCACGCCGGACTTGCTGCCTCAGCTCCACCTTCACTGGCTGTTCGGTGATGGGATCTGGGTTGCGCACAGGGAGGGCAGCTGAGGGGAGAGCAGTGGCTGCTTCATGCAGCTGGAGGTTGTCATCCCGGGGCTAAGCCAGGTTTTCAGTAGTGGGTTCTCTCTGGAGAGATGCATCACCACCTTGGCCCAGCACTATGAAGAGTGTGTTTCTAAGAGCCCTCCTGATGCTGTGACGTGCCCTGCTCCCCATCCTGATCACTGTGCTGCTCAGGCAGCTCCCCAAAGCTTGCCTCTTGCCCCTCTGGTGTGCCAGGGTGACACATCCCAGAGCTCCAGCCAGGCTTCCCCTGCTGTGGCAGAAGCTCAGCAGCAGCTCTTGTCAGCCTCTCTTGCAGCTGTCAGGAGTCCTGTGATTATTCTCCAGAGTCTACCAGCAGTTCCCCAGCTCCTTGAGGCTCTTCAGTGTCAGCCTGAAACATCCCAGTTTCTCCTCCAGGGTGAACCCACAACCCCTCAGTCCCTGTTATATCCTTCATCTCCTACAGTAAAACTGGGGGCCACAAACCCCAGCAGGGAGGAGATTAACCAAAGGACTGAGGAAGGCATCAAACAGTCTTTGAGTGACATTTGCACAGAGCCTGCTGCCAGTCTGTGCCTAAGTGAGCTGGCTGTGGTTCAGAAGTCCACCCAGCTCATTGGCACCAGGAAGGACGCACTGAGTGTACGGATCCTGGAGGATGCCCACAGGGTGGACCTGAAAGGCCTGAGCAGCTGCACTTGCCACTTCAGCCAGGCCTTCCAGCTGCCCTGCTGGCACATCTTGGCTGTGCTGGATTCAAACAGGAGGCCCTCGCAGCCAGAGATGCTCAGTAGGCCGTGGGAGAGGGGATGCAATGCCCATCAGGCCGGGCAAGACAGTGCTGATGGCCTCTTGGAGGTCCTGAAGAGCTTCTGGAACAAATCTTTGTATAAATCCCAGGTGATGTCCTTCCTTACGGCAGAGATCAGAGGTGAAGCTCTAGCACTGAGCAGGAGCTGAGCTGGTGCTCCCACCGTGTCCTTGGTTCTGTGACCACTTCCCTGGGGAGCCTATTCCAGTGCTCAACAACCCTCTGGGTGAAAAGCCTTTTGCTGATATCCAACCTAAACCTCCCTTTACTCCGCTCCATGTTGTTTCATTGAGTCCTGTCACTGGTCATGAGAGTGAAGAGATCGGTACTTGCCCCTCTGCTCCCCCTCATGAGAATGTTGAAGACCACAATGAGGTCTCCCCTCAATCCCCACTTCTCCAGGCTGAAAAAAACAAGTTCCTTCAACCACTTCTCATAAGGCTTCCTCTCCAGACCCTTCACCATCCTTGTGACCCTCCTTTGGATGCTCTCTAATAGCTTAGTGTCTTTTTTATATTGTGGATTCGAGGTGAGGCTGCACCAGTGAATATTAGAGCAGGACAAGTAGAGCAGGACGGTCACCTCCTTTGAGTAGCTGGCGATGCTTTGCCTTATGCACCCCAGGACACAGTGGGCCCTCCTGTCTGCCAGGGCACTGTTGATTCATATTCAAATTGCCATCAGCCAGGACCCCCAGGTCCTTTCCCAGAGCACTGCTCTCCAGCCTCTTGTTTCCCAGTCTATACACACAACCAGGGTTGCCCCATCCCACGTGCAGAATCTGGCACTTGCCCTTGTTAAACTTCATATAGTTGGTGATTGCCCATCTCTGATTTGTCAAGGTCTCTCTGCAGGGCTTCCCTGCCTTGGAGGGAGTCAACAGCTCCTCGCAATTTGCTGTCATTGGCAAATTTACTTAGTATTCCTTCCAGTCTTGTGTCCAGGGCATAAATGATGTTGAAGAGAACTGGGCCAAGGATGGAGCCCTGCAGAACCCCACTAGTGACCAGATACCAACCTGATGTCAATCACTACAAGTGTTTATGCCTGACCTGTGAACAAGTTGCTCACCCATCGCATAATATGGTTATCCAGCTGTGGGCTGGACATCTTGTCCAGAAGAATCCTGTGAGAGACAGTATCAAAAGCCTTGCTGATGTCCAAAAAGACTATGTATACTGGCTTTCCTAGGTGAACTAGGTGAGTTACCCTGTTGTTGAAGTGAATCCTGAAGTCATGTTGGCTGTGACCAATGTCAAAAACACCTTGTCCTCCAGCTGTTTTTTGATACCTCCCAGAATAATCTTTTCTATGATTTTACCAGGTACTGAAGTGAGGCTGACAAGCCTGTAGTTTTTGGGGTCCTCCTTCTTGCCCTTCTTAAAAATCGGGACAACGTTCATCAGCTTCCAGTCAGCTGAGACCTCTCCAGATTTCCAGGACTGCTCAAAAATCATCGAGAGAGGCTTTGCAATGACATCAGCTAGTTCTTTGAGGATTCTCAGATGAATCCCATCAAGCCCCATAATAACATGTGACAAAATTATTTCATCTGTGGCCAGCACCCACAGGTCCTTGCACCATCCAGCTGTGGGGTGTTGTGCAACAGAGCCAATAAATCAGCCTTGTGCTGTTTTGTGCTGTCCCTGTGCCAGCTGCAGATGCCCCTCCCTGGCCAGGGGATGGGGTGCCAGGCATCAGGCAGTGCTGCTTGGTGGTCGTGTGCCACCGCAGTGCCCTGGGTGGTGGGAAGTGGCAGTTCCTGAGGGTGGCAATCCCACTGCACTGCAGCCCCACTTCGGAGAAGGGGAGTGGTTTATCTGGTTTCAGCAGCTGCTCTCAATTCCTCAAGAAAGAGGAACCCACCCCCGTGTGCAGGGGTCACTGCCGGGCAGATAACGCCGGGGAAGTGGGGAGCAAAGGCTACACGGCTGGGGGAGGGAAAACAGCCCAGAGAGCAAATGCCTGGCCCATGGCTGCTGCTCTGGGTGGGTGAGCTCCCTGGCCCTCTTGCAGCCAGGGCAGCTCCAGCAGCTCTCAGCCTGTTGGTGGGACATGGCAGGGAATGTCAGACCTCGCTCCCGTTGCATGGTTTGGTCACAATCCATGTTTTCCCTGATCAGCGCTCCCTTCATTAACACTTTGGTGTTGATGGAGTCGGCCGTCACTGCGGGCTGGGGATTTCCTTTGAGACAGAGTTTTGTAACATGATCTGATACTATCGAGTCTCTGACTAAATATAGCATCGTGTTTCCTAAAACACCTTTCTGTAAGCTTAGAGCTGCTTGTTTCTCCCCTTGGCCGTGCTGTGGAAGAGGCCTGGAAGGCTCTGCCAGCCCCCTCACCGTCTCTCTGGCACCTCTGGTTTTTGGAGGGCTCTTCCCCACCATGCCTGTTGCTCTGCACAAATCCTACCCTGCCTCCCCTCTCCAGCCCAGCACAGGCGCTGCTGGATCCTGGCTGCCATCCCCACCAGCCAGTGGATGAGGAGTCTGGCTGAGGGCACAGAGCCAAGGAGTGCTGGGCTCCACTCCCCAGGCAGGGAGGCGGGATGGCTGGGCCCTGCACAGGGTCACCGTGACTGGCTCTGTGGCCACTGGCTCTGTGGCCACAGGCACGTGCCCAAGCGACGGCTGCTGCCAGCGCTGCTCTCTGGGTGCTCCGGCGTCCGCCCCCGTCCCCCTCCTAGCTGAGCACACAGGAAATAACTCATCGCTCTCAGGGTAAACATATTTCCCAAGAGTGAAACTGCCCAGCCAGGATGAACGTCTGGCTGTAATTTACCTCCACGTGAGTGCCCTCCCACGCTCCACCCACCCCAGCGCTCACTCTGATCCACCAAGGCAATCCCAGCATCATTCCAGAGCTACGGACAAGTCCCGAGCCCCATAGGGCCGTGTGTGGCCTGTGCTCCTTTCCTTGCTGCCGGGGGAACTGCTCCCACAAGTGGCTACTGAAGCACGGGAGGTCTCAGTGCCCCAAGCCTCCTTTGACAGACTCTTGTCTGGAAGTGCTTTATTGCTCTCTCTGAACCACATCAGCTCCCTGCCCACACTTTGGCCCTGCAGCACCGTCCCTGTGTGGAAAATCCCAACACCATGCTGCCTGTTCTCATGTTGGCCCTTTGGCAGCACATACCAGGGCGAGGGGGCAACAAAGGGCATGGATCCTACCAGGCAGCCATCACTGGGGGCCTGCTGGCAGTGGGGGCAGCCCAGCTGTGCCCTCAACACCTCACTCATGTTGGCAGAAGTTCTTGAGCAGTTGGGGCAGGTCCAGGCCCTCGATAGCCAGGCGGTGCACGATGTGCTTCTGGATGACCAGCCGGCACAGCGTCTGCAGGGAGGGAACTGGAAGAGAACAGAGAGAGCAGCTGAGCTGGGCGAGTCAGTGGTGAGGCTAAGCACAGAGGGGTGTAGGAGCTGGCCTGGGCCTCCTCAGAGGTACTGGAGTTAAGGGCAGTGGTGGGGTGACTTTGTTCTGCAGCATCATCCTGCTCCAGGCTTGAGCCAGCTGTGCAGGACCTGGTGCCAGGCTGCTCCCCCAGGGCTGGGAGCTTAAGGGCCCCAGGCAGCAAAGCTCTTCCCATTAATAGGAGGAAGGCTGGGAAACAGTTATGCTCCCAAGCTGTGCATGACCATGGCTTGTTTGCATTTCTTTCTCTGGCGACTTCCCTGCAGTTCCCTTACATCCCACTCCCTTGGTCTGCTTCCACTGGCACCAGCACCAGGCTGGCAGGTGGGTACCAACCGGCCAGGGCTGTGCTGCCTGCTGAGACAGTGCCCACTGTACCTTTGGGACAGACCACCATCAGCCATTGCCGGGGTGCTTGCCCAGGCTCTGCCTGGCTCCTGCTCCTGTGACACAACACCCTGTGGGATTCCTCCTCCCAGAGCCTCAGGTGGCTCCGCAGCACAGGTGCCATCTACTGTGGTCAACACTCTCCTCAGGTGTTAAACCGTGGAGAATCCCAGCCCTGGGACAGAAGCAGCTGTCCTTGGCACAAAGAGGGAAGCAGTGGCTCCCTGTGGTGGGAGCAGCTGGCACCCTGGTGCTTGCTCTCATTCTTGCTCAGTCTCACCTGACCCTCAGCATCTGCTGATTTTTCCAGAGCTAATTAGCCCTCGTTAGCCTGGCCCCTCCCATCCAACCAAGGGACGCAGGATAATGCCCAGGCTCTGCCTGGCATCACGGGGTTTCTGCCCAGGGAACGCCATGTCCCTGGCACCCAGCAGATGCGGAGGTGCAGTGTGTCATACCGGGGTGGGTGGCGGGCGTAGGTGGGTGTTTTGGTGCCAGGGCAGGATGTTGGTTGACTACAGCTGCCGCATGGTGTGGGTAAGACTGGGCTCGGCGAAGCTTCACAGCCCTGGGGCAGCTCCAAACACCCACCCCCATTGCCTGACTCAGGAAGGGTGGCCAGCAGGGCTGCTGCAGGGGGGGGTCTCCCCTTGGCCCCAGCGCAGCCCCCATGGCAGAGATTTCAGCAGACACTGCCCATCAGCGGCACTGTGGATCTCACCCATGCTCCACAGGAGCCACGGGCTCTCCTGTACCCTGCACCCCATGTCCCTCTGACCAGAGTCACACTCTGACATTCCCACTCTTGGGGACTATGGGGTGACCCCACCAGAGCCCCCCCCCGCTCCTGGCCAACGCAGCACATGCCGCAGGGATGGGGGCAGGTACCTACAGCCATAATCCACTGGGATAACCCGGACGCTCTTGGTGGAGGCGAAGACATCAACGACGGCGTAGAGCGGGCGGGCGGTGGGCAGGCCCCTGGCGCTCGGCCCCATGTCCTCGCCGTTGATGATGATGTGCATGTCGGCGGTGCCGTCGGGCTGTGGTGCGTACAGCACCCCGATGCGGCTGCGCCGGGCGGTCGCGGGCAGCACGTTCATCTTGTACAGGTCGTCCAGGATGTGGCTGTAGCGGCCGGGCCGGCTGCGCCCCACCAGGGTGTCGCGGGGGATCCGCACCCGCTCGATCAGCAGGAAGGGCTCCCAGGGCGGGCCCCGCTCCCGCGCCTCCTCCCCATCCACCACCACGCGG